TATACCTTATTAGGTCGACCTCCACGTGGTTCCCCCTGGAAACCATCGTGAACAATTCTTGTTGAATTCGTCACGGTGGGCTAACTGACCTACTTTATCCTCATCTATCATTCTTCACTGGTGCCACGCCGGTGTATACCGACAGCGCGGGTGGGGTTACCATTCCATTATCATCCATTAAAAAAAAAAAAGATTATTAATGCTGATATATTACTATTGCATATACATACCCTATTCTATTCATAATACTTTGTATGTACTCACATATGACTATTTTGAATATTCTATTTATCGATTTTAGTGCCTATAAATAATTAAATAAGCTTATTTTACAATACTTAGTAATATATGAACATGTAAATATATATGAGATACAATACTATTTAATAATAATAATAATTTGACAACATTTACTAAACGTAATACAGTCTTATTTAAACTATGATATTTTTAATATATATATCAGTGTCTACAGTTTTTTTTTCTTCAATAATATTAATAAGGAAAAAAGGCTCGAACACATTAAATATTGCGTAATGTGATTACGTGAATGTAAATATTTAACTGTCGAATATAAAATGCATACATTACCCAATAAGTTAATACAAATGCCAAAATAATATAAAAATGTAATTTGGAGTGTCATCTGTCAATATTGTCGAAAACAAATGCAAATATTTTGTTCCACCAAGTAATTTTATTGATTTAAAAAATTAGTTTGTCCACTGTATTTGTATGTAGGTTAAAGTAGAATTCGTTAACATAACTGAGAATTGCTATAAAACACATTAGGGTAGAAATTTCGTAAATCAAAAATTCAAATAAGACTATAAATTTTATACAGCTGAACACGCCACCGTTTTAGTATGAGAGGCTTCAAATATTTTGTCCTTTTTTCGACCTACATTTTTACGGTAAAAATGTCCAGTTTCGTTGACAGGACTTAAAATTTATGTATACTTATAGCACTTTATATATATATATATATATATATATATATATATATATATATATATATATATATATATATATATATATGTTTTTAATATGTATGTATGTATATCAATGAATACTATCACAGCATTCGAGCATTTTAACACTTCCCTAGGGTTAATTGGGAGAGAAGTTATTAAAATTGTCTTATACACATACATTTCGTAAAAAATAAATAAACACTACAGCACATACACACACTTAAGAACAAATTATATATATTTTCCTTTAAAGTTACATACAGGTGTAATACTAGAACTCTTTGAATGACTTCCGCTCGAACTTGGCGTAATATTACTAATTATTATGAAATATTGAAGTAACTACTTGCAATTTGCATTTGCAATGGCGTGGGTAAAATATGAACATTAGTTTATTGATACACTGATTTTAAATGTGAATTTACTTATTTAGTAAAATATTTATTCATTGAATTGATTCAAGTCCTATATTTAATACATACATACACGGATATTACCTAAACATACATATATTACGAAAGTATATACAAACAAAGTATATATTGCATATTATTTTTTCTTGCATAGAGAATTGTACAGAATTAATATATTCAATTCAAAATGAATCTTCAAAATTGACATACATATATAATAATATAAAATAATTGTTGTTTTGAGGTTACTTCATAATAGAATATGTGTGTATTGTTATTGCGTCGATTCATATATTCTTGCACCTACTGGCTAAAACGTAGTACGAACTAAACCGGTTAAGGTACATTAACTGCGGCCTTCTTGTGGAAACCATGCCACGGGCAAGGTTGAAATCCTTCCTAATGATAGTCATATCGGCCGTTGATTTGTATTATCTGTTATTTTGCGTACTTTCTATCGTTAACTATTTTCATAGCAGTGGCTCGATTCTTATAATGAAAACCGCAATAGTACACGATACTATTTTTCAATCGCTCGTAACAGTGAAATAAATCAATTGTTGAAATCATTCCTCATTTCATCAGTTGAATCGTAATGTCATCGAGATTATTTTTGATTGATAATTATATTTATTATATGAAATACGAACGATGAACGAGTAGATTAATAATAAATCCTCTCGTATATAAATTAAAATGAATCGCTAAATGTGTTACTAAGCGCAAAACACGAGAATGAATGCACCAATTCGGCAATATTTTAAAAATTATTCTTTGGATGAAGTCAGGTTCTTATGAAAAAAAAAAAAAATGGATTATTCTTTCTTTTTTAAAATACACACATTTCAATCAAATATTGACGTTAGACGAATTTATTTCAAATGTATATTCCTTATTTCGACTTAAGAAATTAGTTAAGAGGATAGAAAAAATGAACCTAGTAGTCGGTAAATATGGAGCAAAACAATGCTTGTTTTGAGTGAAATCGAAATCTTTCCGTCATTTTAAGGTAGTGTAACTGAACATTTTTACCAAAAAGAAACATGCGTTGACAAAAGACAAATTATTTTAAGCTCTCCTCCCATACAATCATGACAGCTTAATGTGCTGTTACTTAGGAAGTATTACTTGCATATTTACTGTAATTTAAGTTAAATATACTATAATCAATATCACCGTACATATTACACACTGACATTTATTTTTAAACTAAACAGAGCTTGTACTGTGGATACTATATACTTAGATACGTATTTTTGTAAATACATATTTTTTTGTATTATTATTTAAATGGTGTAATAAAGAGTAAATTAGAAAATATTATACATATAAAACAAAGATGAATATGAATAGATATACACAAACATAAATGTTTATATAGTGTGGGTTCAAATTCGCAGCCCTGAGATGTAATAGTGTAATTTTAAACGCTTAATATCGACAATATAAAAAGAGATATCGATAAAAATTTAATTACTCATGATAGATTCAATTATGTTTTAGTAATTGATTTATATATTAAATATTGACCTAATGCAAACTATTAATAGAAAGGACAATATGTATTAAAAAGTCATCGAAAAAGTTAAGTCAAATTTCAGTCTAAATACGCAGGCACTACAATATTAGCTACCAGTCAATATTAGGTACATAAGTACTTGATAATTCGCAAATTATTATTGCTCATAAATACAGTCGTTGAATATACAACCTTATGTATTAACAAATAGATATTATTTACAAATAATGAAGCCAGCATTATATTAAAAGTTATTAATATTATAATTAGATATTAAATTGGCTGTTTTCAAAATTAGACCGTGATATTACAGAATCGATATTATTGTGAATATACAATAGAATTCAGAATTTTTAGCAATCATTGGCCTAATTTATAGATAAAATTTTAATAATAAAATAAAAATGATAACTCTATTCAGCGTCCACTGGTGGGCAATTAAATTTATTAAAATGAAGGCATCAACTCTATTTTATGCCATTTTATGTGCCATAAAAACGTATGTTATGCAATTTGTAATTAATTTTCATTTAATTATATATATACGTGTGATATTATGATACATTATATAAATAAATGGCTGAGATATATCTCAATGTCAACTAGATATTTAGTAGTCAACTATACCTATACTAAAACTAGTCTGGCAAGTACAAGTCGATTAAAGGATTGAAATAAATAAATATCACGTATACTTTTTTAAATATGTTTTGGTACATCGTGCATTTTAAATCCAGGATGTACCAATTTTATAAAGTTACAAAACTCTTTTTTATAACAAACAGGCAAAAGACCGACCGTGAACATTCTCAACACAGTTACAAGTTTGTCGAGTGTTGCCAGCATTTAATAATAATGTTTATTTAAAATGCACATATTAAAATTGTTGCCTTCATTTCCTGACAGGACTATGACAAGTTTAATAAACTCTTGAAAACATTTTTTTCAGCTTGGCACTAAAAGACAACTGCATGTTTTTCTTCCGATGTTTAATAAACTCTTGAAAACATTTTTTTCAGCTTGGCACTAAAAGACAACTGCATGTTTCTTCTTTCCGACCGATTTGAAAGGATCTAATTGTGGATTCAGGATGAATGAGTCTCTGTTTAAGACTCTTTTATACGCCGACGACCAAGTACTTTTTGCATCGTCGGAGTATGAATTACAACAAATGGTGACTATAATGAATGAAGCGTATGCAAGAAAAGGTATGAAAATAAATGCGAAGAAGACGAAGGTAATGGTTTTTGAGAGAAATGAAAGTTTAACGGCATGCCAGATTATGATAGGAGATGAAAAAGTAGAGCAAGTGAGTGAGTTTCTATATTTAGGTTCTTTGTTTACGAGGGATGGGAAGTGTGACAGAGATATTGAGAGGAGAGTAAAAGCGGGAAACAGTGTTAACGGTGCACTGCTCTCGATTATGTCAAGTAAAAATGTATCGAGCAAAGCTCGCCTTGCTATATTTCAAGGAGTACTGACACCAACACTCATGTATGGAAGCGAATCGTGGGTATGGCAGAAGAAGCATGAAAGTAAGATAAATGCTGTACAGATGAGAGCTTTGAGAAGTATGTGTGGTATTACTTTAAAAGATAGAGTAAGAAACAGTGTGATTAGAGAGAAGTGTGGACTGAAAGACGATGTAGTGACAAAAATTGAAAAAGGAATGTTGCGTTGGTTTGGTCATTTGGAGAGGATGGATGAAAGAAGAATTACGAAAGAGATTTATCGAGCAAGAATGAATGGAGATGTCGGTAGGGGCCGCCCTAGACGGACGTATGTCGACCAAATAGGCGACGTGCTGAAGAAGGGCCAAATTAAAAGTACCCGTAACCGACGAGCGTGTATGACAAGATTGATGAATGTGGAAGAAGCGAAAGAGGTTTGTTTGAATCGAAGCATTTGGCGTTCCATTGTTTCTGCCTACCCTAATGGGAGACAGGCGTGACAGATATGTATGTATGTATGTATGTATGTTTTTCTTCTTCTAATTTCCAGCAACCATTTTGATTTTTTGTCCCATTAAAATCTAACCTGAAAATTCAAATACAAAGGAAAAAGAATATACATTCTAAGGTATAATGTCCGCACCTTGATCCACCACAGTCGGAATATTCCTCTGGAGTGTGAGAATTATCAGTTTCAATGTCTGATAAATGCGGATAAAGACTGGTGGGTTGTTGCAAAACTGCACCATTCGTTTGCGGTCCCTTCTTATCATTCACTTTTATCCTTTTAACGTCATCTAGAACTGATAATACTACTGGTGAATCCTGGGATTGTGAACCTGAAAAAGAAATACATTTATAAACATTTTTTTTATAGAGATATCAAAGAATATTACAAAATTTGAACCACATCGTATAGCGCCATCTAGACAACAACCAAGCACAGCCATGAAGAGGCACAGACCCGATAGTATACTATGGGTATTAGACAACAGACAGAAATCTTACTTATTCCGTAAATAAATACAATTGAAATACACACAAAACGCTTTGAACAATATGAATGGAAACAATTTATGTTGACAGTTTTAATTAAAATATCAATTACATTAAAAAAGGAATTAAAATAAAAAAAAATCTCGTGTAACCACCAAAAAGTACATTGCTCTATATGTAAAAAAAACATTATAGACCGAAGCATCAATTGAATACAAATGAAGGAAACCTACTTTGTGAGGTACGCGGCGAATAATAATGTGATATCTTGATAGTTAAGTAAATTAAATATCTAAGTATTATTACATTTAGATCTTTTAGCATCCGCCTGACGAAATTATGTAGTGAGTCAGACCCTTCCAGTATTTAAGGTTCACTTTCCAAAACGTTTCTTTAGAATAACAAAATCCGGTTTATATTACGCAGAAATAATGAATCATAAAATATATGGTGAAACCATTAAATGAGAAACTTGTATTTATAATTAAACAAACTGTATATCTATTGAATATTCAAATTATTTTCCATAACAAACAAAAATTCGAAAGTGATGAAATGTACCTATTTTTTTTAAAGTTAAGCAATGTACAGGACATGTCAAACTTACATTTTTATTACATGTATAGATAAATAATAATTAAAGATTGTGTGTAACGAAAAAAAGACTTCAATTGTGACAAAACCAGTTATTTCCGTCTAAAAACTAAATTACTGAACCGATTTTAATAAAATTTCTATTGGACCAATCTGTAAGTACATATGTTTTTAGATACAAAAAAAGAATTTTCCAAATCAGTTTAGAACATAAAAAAATATAACCGAATTGAAAATCTTTTTGAAGACGGAAAAAGTTAATAATCTTATTACTCGTAATAAAATAAAATTATAACTTGATGGTGTATATACTTGGAATATAAGAAAAAAAAAAAATAAGAGCAATAGATGTTAACACAATAATTTTTAGAAATTTTGTATGTTTGTTCCGGCATCACGCAAAAACTACTGCATCAAACTCAATACAGTTTTCACAGTTATATTCCTGAAGGTTTTACTTGAACTGGCATATTTTATTTTTATACGTCATGTATAAGTGGATTTCCTACTTTTGAAAATCATGTATATGAAGTGGTGAAAAGCTAGTATTGAATAGAAATTAATGTAAAATAAATCTTTTGTACTTACTTCTCCTTTTTACAGGTTGTGACCCTACAACTTTATCATTTTCCTTCTCGGCCTCTTTGTCACAGGGTTGCTCTTTATCGTTGGTCGTTTTGGGTATGTTTGAAATAATTTCTGGCTTTTTGCTGGCCAAGGCTAAACTTGTCGTGCTGCCCATCAGCGGAGCTTTCTCTGATGGATCATGTTCACTGTTATCATCCTCTGAATCGCTGTGATCTTCGGATGTCTGAGGTTTAGGCTGAAAACGGACATGAGATAAGCGTTTTATTTTAGAATTCATATTTTAAGCTTAAATTATGCTAATATTGATACAAGAGTCATGACTTTTACCACCTTGACTTTTAGTCATGCCCCTCGTATCTGATGCAAATATGTAAAATAAGTTTTTAATAATAAATTCGTGATTTATTGAATAGGTTAAATTAAGGTTACTAGAAAACGATGAGTATATCATAATAAAGATCTTTAGTAAAATAAATATCTAATTTAAACTTTTATTGTCCTTATACTAGGGCGAAGCAAAGACGAGGATTATTTTTAGTCTGAGGGAATAATGTGATGTATTATTTTTTTATAACAATTTGAAAGGTAAACAAGCTGATAGCCAAACATGAATATCTGATAACACATCGTGATGGGCATAGTATGGGTTGCCCTTTTTTAAGACTTTTTTTAATGGATGATAATCCCGCCTCCACTAATGTTATACACTATAAAAAAACGTGACATAAACCTATTTTATTTTATTGTGCTATTGAACTGTTTTGTCTCTTTCTTTTAAGTTAAATTCCCAATTTGAAAGCAAGTGACTAAACACTGTAATAATTAAAATAGATTTGTACATGGTCTTAGTTTTAATGAAAAAGGGAGTAAGATGTTATGCCTCTCTGCTCTGTAATTTCACTGCTATATCCCGGCCTTCAAACCAAATTATGTAAGTATAGCTACTTCTAGAGCGGCTGAAACGTGAGTGGAAGGGAAGTACTAAAGCAGACGACTTGACAAAATCTCTGTTAAACGATTTTTTATGAAATTTGGAATGACAAACAAGCTGATGGTATATTTGATAAAAAGCAGTAACTGTCGCTTAGAGATATGAACAGTACGATGGATACTTCAAAGTATATTGTCATGTCTATGGTAATCCTTATGGGTTTCCAATCTTGCCCCCCTACACAAAGTATAAATGATCTTTCCTTTTTATATATAATATTACTACAGAAAATTAACACCTTCCCGCCCTTGTTCCCTATCTAATTGAGGTCGAGGTAATATGTTTTTATCTTCCATTATTACTATTTACATTCTCTTTATTTACTTAATTTACAAAAATAAACTGTATTTTCAAACTCAAAAGGCATTAATTATGAAAGTTGGCGATATTAATGGTCTCGAGAACAAAATGAAACCGACTTAGATCCGTATAGTTCTTTGTCTTGAATTCTGGTCTATTTAAAGTGTCTACTGCAACTATTTGTGACAGAGGACTTTTGAAACGAGTCATGACTTCACAGCTTATTCTTTGTTTACAAGACTTTTACGACTGGCGATGTTGACGATGCCACAACATGTAGGTCAGAAAATTAAAAATATTTAATTCAACTTGTTTAAAAGTATAGTTTTAAACAGCAAATCTGATTCGTAACGTTTGTATTTGGTCTCTATGTATATGTCTCATTTTAGAAACTCTGGCTGAATTCATCAGGCCACATTTGATGTATTTTAGCACGTAGGTAATTATCCCCAGAGGGAATTTTTTTTAATAAATGATAATGGAATGGTACCTCGCCTGCGCTAACGATATACGCTGGCGGGGCACCAGTGAGGGATGATAGGTGAGAATGTAGTCCATTGTGATGAACACTACACAATGAGTGTTCATCACAATGGATACACTTGGAATTGAACATGATGGTTTCCAGAAGGAACAGCGAGAAGGTCAACTTGACAGGGCGTATTACCAGCAATGGTACTACTATACTATACCATTATTAACAGTCCCTTCTCCTTTGTTATACTTTTACGCCTAAACTCTTGAATTGATTGGTATTTTTCTCCCGGTCGGTGAACATATTTCGGTCAAGGAACGAAACCTGGGGGCCTACATGAAATGAAATTCCGAAGTTTCGGACTCAATTTCGTGTTTTCGTTCATACCAAAATCGGCCCAGTAAATGGAGCTTAACATTTCATTCGTCATAAATCCTACCATAAAAGTCCAAAATAATAATATTTTAATATTTTTAATGTTTTTAAACGGTAAGTATTATGTAATTTTAACATCAAATTTGTGTTCGGCTCCGAAATTTCATAAAACATTTCATGGTAGGCCCTCAGGGACGGAAGTCGCGGGTAATCGCTAGTGTTATAATAAAAAAAAGGGATAGCAAAAACATTGATAGAAATTTTAGAACAAAATATAAAACTGCAATAAACCATAAGAGAATGAAATAATGTTGTAACATGATGAGTCATCAAAATCGTGACATGAACCCACAAGGGTCAACGTACTGAAATTCTACGATGCAAAGCAATAAACTAAATGTCACTAAACCTATATTATATTAAGAAGAATGCCTTCCAGTTTATACAAGACTAGCGAACCATACCGGCTTCGCATAGTATTTCCAAGAATAAAATATAGCCCATGTTATTCGCTGATAATATAGCTTCCTATACGTGAAATAATTTTAGAGACTAGTTATGTAGTTTTTGAGTTAATCAATTACAAACAAACACAAAAAATCGATTATTTTTTGTTCGTAATATTAGTTCAGAAAAATAAAGAGTGTGTTTTAAACCTATAGATATGACAGTCAGGAGTGGTGAGAAGTGATACAAATACCGCTGACAAACAAACATCGCCGGGGGGAAAGGGATTGTTAGTAATGGAGACTGAGAATCCCATTGCTAGCAATATAATCAACCAGGTCGACCTACTCGCGGTTCCCCTTAGAAACTATCATGGTTAATTCCTGATGAATTCATCATGATGGGCTAACTGGCCTGTTTTCATTCTCATCTATCAACTTTCACTAGTGCTCCGTCAGCGTATCCCGTTAGCGCAGGCGGGGTTACCATACCATTTTCACCCTATCTATCTATCCTATTTAAGAGCTGCGCTCTTGTCGGTGGAGCTCTTGTCACTCATTACGCCTTTCAGCGAGTCTCTTCACCTCACCATTTTCACCCCTCAAAAAAAAAAAAAAAACAAACAGCGCCATTAATTAATTCATAATAGTAATTTTAATTTCTAAACCATCCTGTGCCGTAGCATAATCTACGTTGCTTTACTACCTATGTATATTTAAAATATTATGTCTGTATGTATCGGTCCCGCGATAGTCACGGGTAAAAGCTAATGTTTTATAAACATATCGTAGCATTTAATGTGCAAATGGCAGTGAGAAATGGCGAAATCGTTTCTACAAGTTTCTAAACAAACATTGAGACGAGGCATTTTTCATTTGACTTATCTGACGCAATCGTAGTTGACGCCGCGGTTTGAGTTAAAATTATCACATTTTTATTATGGTACCTATTAAAGCTCTTTTGTAGTCATCCGACGAAAGTTCGTCTTATGCTGGGCACTCTGTATTACGTATATTAATAATATCTACAAGTTTCCCTTTTAGAATATAATTTACTATTTTTTACACAAAAATATTTGGTAACGTGTGAAACTAAAAATTGCAAAACAACAAAGCCTTTGAGATCTCTCTACCACATTTATTGTCATTAATTATCCAAACAATAAATAAAGGAATTGTATTTATTGTTTTACAAATGATGACAGCATTAGCAGAGAAAATTAATATGAAATAATTAAACTGACCTAAAGATGAATGTTCATAAAAAAATGCAATGAAACGATGAACACATAAATTTTAATAAAACTAATAAACCCGCCCTTATGCTATTCATTCGTAGAAGTCAGTCTATACTAATAGATATAGAATTTGCAATTTTTTTTATACGACTTAGAATAGCAAACAAGCCTATAGACATGAGCAGTACCATGGAAATAACAGAGTATACTGTTTTGCCCATGATACCCCCATGCGTTGCCATTCCTGAGGATTCAGGTGTTGTTCCTCTGTACCCAGTAAATTCACGCCATATCCCACCCTTCAAACCGAAACACAGCCATGCAAACACAATTGCTTTACGGTTGAAACACGAATGGGACAGAGGCCAATTCTAACATATCTATATGCATTAACCACAAATATAATAATCCTATAAGCATACAATGTGTACTTAATACGATAAGACACTAAGACACTAATACGATAAGGCAGAAACGGTAATAAAAAACATGGAAGAAAAGAAGAAGCAGAACAAGACATACGTAAAAAAAATACAAGTGACCATACATTGCTGTGTGACGTCAAAAAGGTTAAAGACCGGTTTACCCAATTGATCTCGTAATATACAAACACATTATCACGACATGGTTTTGTTTAATATTAATTAAATTTGAAGAGACGAAGGAATAACTTTTGTCTTCTTCTAAACACTGCAGAGGGAAAGAGATACATATATGTATTGAAAACAGAGCAATATAAAGCACAAATGTGAATAGTAGCACGAGTACTCGGTACAGGAATAACCAGGGAAGGGGAAAAGCGAGCCTAGTGGTATGTGCTGTCTAAATAAAGCATTGTAAATTCTTTTCCTTTGACTGATTTTAAAGGTCGGTACTAAAATTGTGTACTACAAAGCAACTAACACCTCTATTATATGTCAAAATGAATTGAGACATTTTTGACATAATCGAATAGGAATCGAATCGAAAACGCATCGTATTGATATCTATTCCATTTGATTTTCAATTGATATAAATTCGATTACGATGATTGATGACATTAGTGTCATCAATCATCAATTAACGTTATAAATACAATTACAGAGTGACCTTTCAGAAGAACATTTCTATCCTTAAATTGGAACACATTTAGAATTAGATCTACGATCTACACAGTGACTATCCCATATCGGCTCTAATGTAATATCGTTAAATGCCAGTATGAGTGATAAATTAATATAATTATACGGGTATGATGCGTATGACATCAATAACTGTTTAAACACGTAAAACATTCATTCTTTCATTCATTTTCCATAATCTCAATCAATATTGGAAACAAATATTGAGTACACACATGTTCTTTTGTATCTATTTTATGTGCGAAATAATAATAATTTCTAGTTAACTAATTCTATCCCGCGGTTTCGCCCCCGTGAATCCATATACCAAACTTCATTTCAATATGTTTTTTTATAGAACTTAAAATGGCAAACAAGCTGACGGCCCACCTGATGGAAGATAGTAACCGTCGCCTATACACATGAGCAGTAGCATGGGCATAACAGAGTATACTGTTTCGCCCATGATACCTTCCATGCGTTGCCATTCCTGAGGATTCAGGTGTTATTCCTCTGTACCCTGTAAATTCACGCCATATCTTACTCTTCAAACCGAAACACAGCCATGCAAATACAACTGCTTTACGGTTGAAACACGAATGTTTAGTTGTTTCCGCATAAGGACTAACAAATATCCATCTGGACGTTTGTTATTATATGTATATTCGTATGTCCACAAGGATGTTTCCTTACAAACTTTCGCATTTATAATAGTAATATTATAGCTATTTTAGGTATAATTAGAGAAAATATTATAAAACATTCTTACCTTATAATGGAATCGATTCTGTAGCATCTCCATCTCTTTCTCTCTTTCCTGTTTAAATTTATTCGCAATGGTCGTCTCGCTTATCGTTTGCTCTTTACTGAATAAAGCCGCCAGTTTGCCTTTTATGCCACCTCCGATGGAACTCTGACTAACGTTGTCTTCGGCGACTACTTCTTTTGAATTTGTTCTAGAACTACTGGCCAACTTTTTTGGAGTGGTGCTTGGCTGTACAGTTTGTGTGGTTTTGCCTAAAAAAAAGTTATGATATAAAATATGAACGTAAAAAAGAGACTGAATTAACAATAATTAATTCCTGGTGCCAACTACTTTAAATGATAAAATTATTTGGATAAATAAAAAAAAATATGCGTTTATATAATAATAATAATACTTGCAAACTTTGAAATTTTCTGAGAAATATGAAAAAAAAATCCTATCCAGTTATCGCCCGCATAACATTATAACCGTTATGTTAATGTATCTGGTACTCAACATATGCTTTATATGTATTTTATTTTTTATTTTTACTGGGAAACCAAAGATTTTTAAATAATTTAGAATGACAAACTACAGTGATAAAATTAACCTTTGTCTATACACATGAACATTATAAATAGGCTGTGCATATTACAACGTGTGATACCCATGATGTACCTTTTTTTTTACAACACTGGGGGCAAACGAGCATGCGGCTCACCTGATGGTAAGTGACTACCGCCGCCCATGGTCACCCACAACACCAGCGGCATTGCAGGTGTGCTGCCGGCCTCTCGCACTACTACCGAGGATTACGGTGTTATAATTCCATACGCATACTAATATTATAAATATGGGGGAAAGGAATTGTCAGTAGCTCTACTGTTAGCAATATATTCTATCAGATCGATCTCCACGCGGCTCCCCCTAGAAGCCATCATGGTGGTGGTTGAATTTGTCATGATGGGTCAATTGACCTTCATTCATCCTCTCCTGTCATCAATCATTGGTGCCCCGCCAAGGTATATTGATAGTGTAGACGGGGTTGAAAATGGAATTGTATTCCATTTTCACATATAAAAATAATCCATACGCAATAATGTCAACGTACAAGTTTTTACGTTCACGCTTGACAACATAATTCAAAATTGTGTTCCGACAAAAAAAACCAACTTCATCTGTGGCAAAACCAGTTATTTTAATTAAAAACCAATCGATTAAACGAATTTTAATAAAATTCCTATATGACCAATCTGAAAGTATATCCTTTCAGCTAGAAGAATTTTCCAAATCGGTTTAAAATTGATGGAATTATGAGATAAACGAAATAAAACAAAAATACAACCGAAGTGAGAACCCCATTCTTTTTCAAGTCGGTTGAAAAGCACGAGTAAGGCAGGGGTACCCATATATACGACTCTGTAGTCTTATTTCTCGCTATTTTTTTGGGGAATAAAAAAGAATACTCTGCAAAAACAGCGATGAGTAATCGTGACACAAAATCGGCTCATAAATTAGGGAAGATATCGTGTAACACACACAAAAAAAAGGCAAATCGAGAATCTTGTCTTTGAAATATAAAAAACAATAAATTTAAAAGTCGTCAGTAAAGGTTAAAGGTAAAAAAGGAAACAGGAATATCACAATTTTTAAGTATTTTTTTCACAAGGAGAAACTAGCATGCGGCATATCCGATAACAAAAATAATCTTACATTTGATCCGAGCTGGGGCTACATTGTTTTTATGTTAGACCTATTATTTAGTTAAGACCGATAAGGTGTTTAAGAGGTTGTTTCAATAAATACATTGTACAACTTGTTAAACCCGGGCCGCTTGGTCGCGACCTCGCCATGACTTGGCTGAACATCTGTTTTATCTGACCTACATATAGCGGATTAATATAAAAGTAATTATGTTTCCAATTTTTTTTATTGTTAGAACAATTAAAATGGTATTGTTACAGGTCGGCCAATTGGGTTGAAAACATATATTTTTTTGTATTAAGAGTTTTTTTTTTTAATAAAAATAAAACGATACTGCGGTATTGTTATAAGTGAGCGATAATAGATAATGGATGATAATGAAATGGTAACCCTGCCTGCGCTCAAGGTATACGCTGGCGGGACACCAGTGAGGGATGATAGGTGAAAATGAAAATAAGTCCGTAGTCAAGTGATTATAACGGAAGCCCTATAATTTCGTCATTACATAGTTTGACAAATTATTTCATACTTTTTATTCACAATAGATGGAATATACCCGTGTCTTGGGCCCATATTAATTTTGTGAGTACTGAAGTTGCCATTTTCCTTTGCGGAGCAAAATTGCTTCTTGCGATATATCTTTATATTTTTACATATAAACAGACGATTCTGCGTTCTAAATTCAAATCACATTTCATCAACGTATCATCAGTTTAAAACAAGAACAGTACGATTTTATAGTACTGAAATTATTAGTCACGATTGAAGTTTTTTTTTTTTTGCAAGAGCAAGTATATATTTATTCTGAATTGACTCTTATTAGTATTGAATTTAGAAGATAAAGGATACTACTGTTCCCACGCTTCTTTTGTTTATCAACTTTTTCTCTGTCTACATTACATTTTCTAAGAAAAAGGGACCTGACCTGCACCAACACTTGATAAGATGGTCAACAATGTGATCTTGTTTTGTTTCTATCCCCGTGTCTTTCTTGGCCGTCTATTTAAGGCTTGCATAGATGACAAACATTTTTCTTGACCGTCTTTTTAAAACCTGCGCATGCGCACCCGACGAACATTTACATTTTTCCGATGGAAAAAATTCCCTATGTGTAAACTGAGTACTATCACAAGACGTGTGCGTAGCGTTTGTGAAATTTTAGAGGTTTGATTATAATTGGACTTGAATTTACACAAAAAAGACAAACAATATCAATATACTGTTTGCCTTTTTGTACAACGTAACCTTAATGGCCTACGCAATCGTGGACCATTAAGGTTACGTTTGATATACACATTATGTACACTAATTTAAAGTTTAAGAAACCACTATTGAGTAAACGCCTGCCTATTTGAAAATTCCATCGATTTTCTTATTGATTCCATATTGGCCACTTTCATATTGTTTTAGCGAGTTACCTCTTACTATGAAATTTAGGTATAATTAATTAATTGAATTTACCTTTTCACGAATCTGAGTGTCTAGCTGAATCTATCTAGGGGAATCCCAGTTTAAGGATTAGGAAATTCATGTTATGATCTGAATTTCAGTCACAATTGAAGTAAGTTTTTTTGAGACGTATCATAATTAACAAAACATAATGACATATTAACCAAATATACTGATAACATACTCAAGTGATATTTGACATAAGTTCTATTTGTTATTATCTTTCAGTTAGTACAGGGATTTTACAATCACGGAAACCACGCTAATTGCACACTGCATTGTTCTACGATGCAATAAACATCGTTCTAAACACGTTGACACGTTTGTCAAACAATGACTTATTATCTACTTACAGCCTTAAGAAGTTACGAAATGTGAATCGACAGGTAAGGTATTTCTTTTTTAACTAAAAATATAAATAGTTCACTTACAAGAAACTTTTTACGAGATCAAATACACCGTCACTATCAAATTGGTATTTTCATGACAAAAATCCAAAGAAGTGTCACAAAAAATGTTCACGTACACTGGCCACGAGATCACGAATTTGACGTAAAAAATAAAAATGTATTCTAAATTTAAAATTTAAAAAGACCCGAGTGTTCTGTACGGCGCGCGCCGCAACGAGGAATGGCGCCCGTATCGCAAATCGTAAGTCTACCTCCACCTCTCAAACTCTCAATAATGATCGACGCTTCCGAATCCCACGCCTGGGTCAGCCGCTGTCAACCTTTTGTTGCCACGTTACGCATCAATGGCATCTCATTCATCGTAAGCGTACAGCTACGATTTCCATCTGTCTGTAGCGTGGTAATAGGCTATTAATTTTACTGAATAATCACAATGAAATTGGGTACTTAATTGGAAAAACGATTAACTGTATTATTTAGATTTTTTTATAAGTATTTAATATTATTTTTTTATAATCGAATTTGACAAAAAAGACAACAGTTACAATAAAGGCAAGTTTTTAAAACTAAATTTTATTCTACAACAATGTTTAAGTTCATCTCTAGTGTCTAGAGTTTTAAATGAAACGTTTTTATTCGAAAAAAAAATCTGTTTTTAACTTTTTTCTTTTAGTTTGTTTCTATACCCCAAAAAACTTAGTTTTTTTTTTCGAAAACTCGTAGATACAGTAAGTACAATTATTAGCAAAAAGAAACATTCTGTACACTGAGATCAGATTCTCTAATTACAACTATCATAAAGACAAAATAAAACATATTGCAAGATTTAAAAAATAAGTAACAAGTTTTGAATATATGTTATAAAGATATACGTATACAATGGAAAGGGCCTCATAACTTCGTGTTGGGAACGCAGTCAAGGTTGACGACTCCTGACCTGCTTAGCCTTGGTGGTCGAAGCACTAATGTCGCGTAACTTAATTCGGAGATGCATTTACTTGTTTGCTCATCACATCGACTTTTAGACAACCATTACGTAAGTGATATAAGGATGTATTAATATTAAAGGGGGCAGTGGTCGTTTACGTAGAATATGTTTATACATTTTGCTTCAAAAAGTTTCTTTTTTTTTTTTAATTTAGAACTGCAAACAAGGCAAAGGTCCACATGATGGAAAGCAGTAACTGTTGTCTATAGACATGAACAGCGCCTTGGACGATACAGAATACTCTGTGATACCTATGCTACTTCTAATACGCTGCAATTCTTAAGGATTATGGTAGTTTTTAGTGTGCTAACTGGAAGGACACCAGTGAGAATAAGTGAAGATGAAAGCAGGTCAGTTGCTCCACCGTGACGAATTCACTAAGAATTAATCATGACTTTTTCTAGTGGTACCATATTTATGTTGATACGATAGATGTTCAAACAAAATTTGAAAATTATTTGTTTGTCATAGATATTCGTTTTGCGTTTAGGTGATAAAAAGTTGAATATTTCAAATATCTTTTAGTAAGTAACTGCATAAGTACAGACAAGGGTATTTTGTATGAGCAAATTTTAAATCTACATTTTACTTAAAAGGATTTTCCCCCAACGTGATTATAATGAAGAAAAAAACATTGTAAGAAAAATATATTTGAGAATAGTCAGCAATACTGCATTTGAATTAACGATAATATTTTGTTAATGTTTTCATACATTTTGAA